GAGGCGGGAAGGATGGGAGCTGGTCGCGGGGCGTTGAGAGAGGTTGGGCCGGACGGACGATGGCGGAAAACAGGGTCCGGGAGGAGCAGAGGGGTCGTGGAGAGGAGGTTCTTGGGGGCGGCCTGAGCGCGCGAGGTGCCGGGTTCCGAGCAGGCCGCAGCGGGTCGCAGCAGCCCCTTGGGTGACGCTCCAGGGCGCCTTCCCGGGGACCGCTTCCTCGGGACCCCTCGGGACGCTTGTTTAGAATGCCGGTTCCTGGGCGCCGCCCATCACCCCCGCACCTGCAGCTCCGGGGCCAGGAGCCTGCACCTTCAGGAGCCCCCCACCTCCGTGTTCCCAAGTCCACTAAAGTTTGAGGAGCGCCGATTTCCCTGGCAGGTTGTCCTCAGCAGATGGCTTTGCCCCCTCCCGGGAGTAGCACCCCTCTTCCCCCCACTCCTAGGCGCACCCTGGAGGTTTTCTGGAGTGTGTGTCTCAGGGTTGCTGCTGAGGTGGGGGAGGGTGTCAGGAGAAGGGGTGCCCAGGCACCTTCTCGGGGGGCAATGGGGGGTGAGGGAGGGAGGTCAGAATAAAGCCCTTCACCTGGTTTCGCGGGATCGGCCCTGGACCGGGGGCCACAGTGGCGGAGCTGAGCTTCATCCTGTTCCCTAGGCCACACCGGTCCCTGGGGCCTCTGTGGAGAGCAGGTTTGGCCTTGTTTTTCTGGCCTGGGAACAGGAGGTTCAGGGAGCAGCAGAGCACTGCCTGTTGTGGTTTGAGGTGCACAGAGGTACGCCTTCCATCTGAGACCTTTGCATTCCCAAGACCGTCAGTGTGGTCTAGGGATTTGAGAGGGAACAGGCCTTCTGTGAATTACCTGTCTTGGGGAATTAATTTTCTTTTTTTAAATGCCACCTCTTCCTTTCCCCGGTGTGTTCTGAGGCTTCCATTCCTGTGGCTTGTCTCCATTGGGTTATAAATAGCTTCAGCATATCAGGTGAGACCAGGCATTCTCCTCCGGCTGCGGGGACTTCGTGTGCACAGACCCTTTTGTTTTTAAGGCAATGCTTTGTTCCAGTTCTGGGGCTGAGACAAGCTGCTGGGACAGGTATACACATCTGTCAGGTTCTTGTTCAAGATTGCCAAATAAGAGCCACCCATAACAATAGCTCTACTTTACGTTAGCAGAATGCTCACAAAGCACTGGGACGGAATTCCTGTTTTATTTACTCTTCCACTGCCGTCCTATAGCGTGTTATCCCCACTTCCCAGATAAGGGAAGTTGCAGCTCAGAGAGGAAGGGGGATACTTCTTCAAGGTCACATAGCTAGGCCTTATAACTCTCAGTCTGGTGCTTTTTACTGTATCACTGGCAACCCTGTGACCTGAGTGATGGGCCTAATTTTTTTAAAAGTATATTTTGATATTTTACAGAGAGGAAGGGAGAGGGATAGAGAGTTAGAAACGTCG